AGCCGCACGCATTTTTAGAAGAAGAATTAGAAAGGCATTTTTCAACAGTGCAGCTTTCTAATGGAAAGTAAGAATTTTCTAAAACAGCTAAACGTTCTTTACTAAAACTACATTTATAGAAGTCCCTCTGATAACAACTCACCAAATTTTCTTAATACTGAGATTTCCATCGTATACATTTCTATATATACATATGAGAAATCCGTCATGAATGAAAGGGTGCGTTAATTGCGGCAAGCATAAAAATAATAATTTTAAGCTAGTAGCGCAAATAAAAGATGTCTTTTATAGAAAAACAACCTTGGTTTGAAATTATTATTTTTCGAGCTATCGAATCAATACTAATAATTGGTGTGGACAGATATTCTGCTAGAAAAAACCGAGGGCTCACGAGCGCAGTCCTTGATAAGCGATTGCATGTGACAGAAATTGTTTTCAAAAGTGAAGTTTCTTAAAACAGTTAAGCGCTATTTCTTAGGTATACGTTTATAAAGAATCTTACAACGGTAGTTTCAATTTTTTTGCAAAAAAATTTCATAAAGACTGTAATATAATTGTATAATTCCAAAAAATTCGTTATGAATTATGAAGCTGGACTGCTATTGCAGAACATTATCTTCAATTTATTAGTAGAACGTACTATGAAAATCTTTTCGTACGACAAGCTTATTGTCAAAATCGAAATTTTTCAAGCTATCAATAGATTACAAAAACATCAAGAAGATTAGAGGAAATGTTCAATAGCAACTGAAATAGATTTCTTCTCCGTAATAGTGTGGCTTTTCCTTTCAAAAAGGCAAGATTATGGGAAGCCTTAAGCTCAGTCCTCGCTAAGAAATTCATACAGGAGTCTCTTAGTGATATTTTGTCGTTTTTGATGACAATGTTCCTTTGAGAACTTGATTATCGCGAATTTCTATTGGAGTACGCACCAATGTTCGTAACCGTCCGAGCGGCTCGCCCAGCTGAGGGTCATAATGAACCTCAAAGTCCGCAAAAAAATGTTACTATATCCTCTGCGGATGGTAAGGATATATATGACCCTCAGCTGGGCGCGCCGTTCGGATGGACTACGAAGAGTGGTGCGTGTTCCATACATATTCGGGTTAGCAAAGCTGTCAGAGGAATATTGTCATCAAAAAAACGATGTAATATCACTAATAAGACTCCTATATGAATTATTGGCAAAATTAACGCTAAGACTTCCCAGAACTTTTCCTTTCCATAAGAGAAGATCATATACTTGCGCAAAGAAGATTATTTCCCAGCTGCTGTTGGACATTTTCTCATATCTTCTTGATAATTTTGTAGTCAGTAGACAGCTTAAGAAATTCTGACTTTAAAACTAAGCGGATTGCTTGAAAATAATCCCACAGTACGTTCTAATGCCTAAAATGAAAGATGACGTGAGCGAAAACACGGCATCAGACGGGAGTCGAACCCGCCTTTCAGCCATACCGGGGCGCGTGCTGCTACCATCACACTACAGTGGCTATCAGCTCAACGGAGTTTATAAAGCGAAATGGCATACCCGACCAAACCTGTTGAGATTGGTGGCTATAGCTAAAAGATGATGTTGAAGATTGAGTTGTGGCGCAATTGTGCCTTCGCGGTGCAGTGGTAGTAGCACGCGTCCCCGGTATGGATGAAAGGCGGATTCGATTCCCGATTGAGGCTGTGCTTTTGCTCACCACACAGCTCTCTTAGGTATGTATTACAACATAATAATATCGCGAAAAAAAGCAGTAGAAATACTAGAATTTAGGAGTAAAGATGACATTTTGCAATCGCAATCTAATTTTTCTAATTGAAAGAGGATTTTTTGGGATTAAATAGTTAGATTTCGATTCCTATAAAATCTTATGCTAAAATGAACTCAAATTTGTCATTGAAAAAGCTTTTATGAACTCATTTATAAGAGAATAAACGCTCAACTGTCGTGAAAATCCTCCCTTCCGGAAATAACTTCCATAGCATGCACCCGTATTTCAAGGATTGCGCTCGTAATCCTTTGCTTTTTTCTACGAAAAGACCTGTTCCCTAGAGCAACTGTATTTATTCGATAGCTGAAGTCAGTGTATCTCAATGGTATAACCTGTTTTGCAAACGGCTCTTTTTTTTTGCGCTGTAACAGTCGAAAATAAATTTGTTTCATATTCAAGGATTTCTCGCCGGGTAAGTTTTTACCATGAACACTTAATGACCACTCGATAGTGCAGATCTCAGCGATTTCAAAGGACGTAATTTCTTTTAGAGAGGACTGCTTAGGGAGCTGTTGTAGTCAAAAGAAGATTGGGTTTCGCACTCCAAAGGGTGGGATTTTGCGGAATTGGCCTCAACTTACCGTGCCTTTAGCAACATATCAACTAACTGCGAAACGTATTCTTCTTTTAACTGCCACAGTACAATAAAAAGTTTTTTTCAAAAACAAAGTTATCATGGAAATCGTCGAGATTTGAGTTATCGAAAAAATTATTAGAAGCCCAGCGGAGGAGCTAACTAGTGGGATATGCTTGAGTGTGAAAGATGTTTTGTTTTTATTGTTAAAGCGCATTAAGGGAGTCATTATAAAAATCAAGTACACAATCAAGATTTCCAAGATTTAAACTATCGATTGGTTGCCATAGCTCCGATAAAAATCATTAAACACGTTTTGTCTACGAGGTCAAAGCAGGATGCGGACATTGAAAATTATCCGATTTGCGTAATCAAATCTTCTTTTGACCGTTACAACACTCTGAGGAGTCTTCCATCAAAACCAGTCACACCGTTGAAATTACTAAGACTTTCCCTAACTAACGATTATCAATTGCTTTTGTAAAAAGCTTTATTCGGCGAGAAATGCTTGAATGTGAAACAAAATATGGTTTTTGGACTGCTGCAGCGAAGAAAACAGTCCAATAGGTAGCTGAGCATTCGGAGATTTTCGTTCCGTTGAGCGTGAATGGGGCATTCAAAACCCATCCGTTCCTCATAAACATCGTTTTCGTTAGATCTAGTTGAAGACCTATCTCTGCATAGGCGTTGTCGAAATCGGTCAATATTCGTTCCGCTTGGCTGATGTTTGTGTTATGAGAACGACGTCGTCACCAAAGCGAAGATGGTTCAATTGTCGGCCGTCAATTTCCACTCCCATATCGTCCCATTTTAACGCTCGTATGACGTCTTGGAGGGTGGCAGTGAATAATTTTGGCGAAATTGTATCGCCTTGTCGACCCCTCTTCTTACGTCGATGGTGATATTGTTGCAGAATGAGATAATTTGGTGCCAAACTTTATAAAGCTCACAATGGATCACTATGCACGGAGTAGGGACGCCCTTGTTATTCAGAGCCTCTATAACCGCTTCTGTTTCCACTGAATCAAATGCTTTCTTCAGATCGATGTAAGTGAAACAGAGTGGTTGTTGAGATTGACAAAGAATAATACATATCGTTTCAAATTCACTTGATTTTATCTATCGAATGACTACTAAAGAGTTTTATACGTGTCTACCAAAGGGTTCAAACGGGGTGGAGAGAATGGGAAAGAACCGTTATATCTCCACCTCTTCCTTGCGCACCATAGCTATGACTAGAGTGGTTCGAACGAAATTATGTATCGATCTGAGAAATGGGAATCTAAACTGCACTAATAATCAAAAAATATCAAGCATTGTCGATGAAATGAGATCGCATGAAACAAGCAGCACTACTGTTGAAGAACTACTCATTCTTTTCCAAATTTCCGCCAGTATGATTAATTTCATGCACTTCATGCAATAAAGTATACGGAAAGATGAAAGAAACAGAAGACAAATTTGATTTATTTGTAGGTAATTTAAATTATCGTATAAATGCTCGATAAAGCTTCTAAGTATGGCTTTTTCATGAATGATGGTTTTTTCCTTTGAAAGTGTGGATTGTGAATGGAGCAATTACGTTATTTCCAATAAAAATAGCCTTATTGAGGTCTGTTCCATCATATCTGACCATTTATTGACACAGAAATCCCACATTTTGACGGAAAAAAGTACAAATTTCATTAGAAAAACTACCACATTAACCTTGGAGTAGGTGCTGGAAAGCTCTCTTCGTCGCTGTTCGAGCCGCCCACCAGCCGAAAATGGCGCTATCCGCAAAAGGATATGGAAGCTAATGAGATTAATTGTCTCCAAGACATCATCAGCACTCGAGAGCTGCCTCAATCCGAGCCTTTTAATGCTTATATTGTGTATTCCACACGTAACATAGTGACCTAATTTTCAAAAATCACTAAAGAGGCTTTAAATCTTCAAGAATGTTTGAAGCCTTACCCGAGGTTGATACGCCAGAGCTATACGCGGGTGTTTCGGAGGTCTCGTCCCCCTCGTCAGTAGCCCACGCCCCAGTATTAGCCGAGATCCATCAAATGAGAAGTGGTGATGGCACAGTTTTATTGCACACTGTGCCGTCACCACATACGCCTCATTCCTTGCTACAACGCAGGGCTTAATGTGGGGCGTGGGCTACTGACGAGGAGGGCGAGACCTTCGAAACACGCGCGTATAGCCCTGGCGTACCAACCTTGGTTTAATCTTTGAACATTCTTGAAAATATATAGTGGAATGTTTATTGCGAGGTTTTCTAAAAGCAGCCGATGACTGGAATTTTGTTATAGCGAGCACTAGGACATTCACCGTCACCGGCTTCACATCCTTGCCTGTTGCCATGGTTTCACGTTGCCAAACCCGATGTTCGGTTTACCGGCCTAGCAAATAGTAGGGAAAGAGCTACGGGATTCGTTATCACGTCTTGTAATGCAAACAGTGAGTTTGAAAGTACAGATTTCTAGTTCAATCTTGCGTAAACTCCGGAAAACGTAGGGAATGAGAGCTAAATTTCTGAAAAATCCTCCTGTGATTGACACAACTTACATAGCTTTACATGATTTTGTTCAAATAGTCCAAATAAACTCTTCGCAATAGTGGAAAACTTTGTCCTTCAGATTCTCGATGTTCTCGAGAACCAAGGTCGCAGTGCACTTTTACCTGATGCTGTAATCTCTGCAATTTTGAATCAACTTACCGTGAGAATCTCTTACGAACCATTGCAATGTCAGACAGTTCTTGACGGTATAATGGATAACGTTGTTGATCGTGGGTTCACATTATTGATGTTGTATTCAAAAGAGAGAGAGAAAGAGAAAGAATGAGATCTGGGCTCAAATTCCAGCTGAAGCAACCGTTTTTGCACAATACCTCTACGTTATTGGGTATATTGAGCCAAGCATAAGTATTAAAGCAGTCAAGAAAGAAGCAAATCTGTGTTTTGCCCCGGGAAAGTCTTCAGAAAATTACTGAAAAAATTACTACTGCCCTGTAAATATTAGGAAAACTATTATCTTAGCACTAAAGTTGAAACCTTCTGAAACGTTGACATTTCCGAGCGAGTCTTTTCTTTCATATATTTTTCTTACAACAGAATAATGCCCAATATGTCATGTGATTGGTTTTGAAGAAAACAAAATCAGTTCCTAAAACTGTCTTCAGCTTTTCATTTTTGTATTCTAATGGGAAGAGGTGCCTTTGCAAGACTTATAATATTTTTTAGTCAAAATGAATGTGAAACCGAACTGCATTATTGTCGGCAACGCGGTGACGGGAATTTGCAATGTAATGGCAGATCAGAAAATGTGTACGAATAGGAATATAGTAGAGGCGATTCCCTCCAATCACACAACAATCTCAGGAACTCTCACGGTTTGAAAATTTTTCCTTTTTATGAAAACTCGTTTTGTGAGAAAGTTCTGTACAGACGACAAATATCATCATGGCAAATTGGTCGACAAGAATGTGGCAAGATGTAGTGAACAGAGCAATTCGAATGCTGGCATCGCGTCCATTCGGAATGCACTTCTTCTCAGCAAATGCCGTTGTTGCGTGAAACTGAAAGTGAACTGTGATATGTTCGTGACAACCATGTTTATTCAGCCCATATTGTAGTACTGCAGCAGCAATAAATTGGCATTAAATGGCGTTGACTAGTCGGGGTACTACATTAAATTATATTGAAGTTTGCAATGTAATAAATATCGATTGGATGCCTCTTTCACATGGCAACCGAGAATTCTACAGATAAAAAAAATTGCGAGAAAGACTTATCTCCACTTAAATTTTGAGAAAACGTTCCCACCATGATCTTCCAATTGAGTAAACAAAACTAGTTGGGGGAAAACTATGAGGACGAAAACAAAACTAATGAACTAAGAACATCAGTAACCAGTGCGATATAAAAGACATAAAACTCTTGGTGATGATCAGTCCCTGAGGAGTGCGCCATTCATTCGTCTTGAATTTTGAACCTCGTTTGAGGTGATTGAATACATATAATGAAATAGTATATTAAATGCATTCACAATGATGGGCGGTGGCCTCCCGCATCATTGAGTTAGTGCTGGTTATCCTCCCAGGCAAAGCTGAGACTGTCTGGTAGCAATTCGCGAACCCGGAGGGATTAAACGCTTGGTGAGCAATGAGCGCGAGATCGAACCACCAACCTTGTGTGCGACGCACAGTCCCTCTAACCACTACGCCACATGAGCCCATCAAGCAGTGCACATATCTAATAATATAACGAAGACGAATTGAAATAAAAAGCAATAAATCAGTAGCGATACGATAATGAGGCGCAAATGAGAGGAAGGATCCAAAGTTCTGATCTGTG